TCGCATCCTCGTCAGTGTCTCCATCTCGCAAGGGCTTTTTCGAACATTTCTGTCTGCCATTCGGGCGAGGTCGGTCACCGACATCTGTACCTTCTTCTACCGCTTCTGGCCAGCATACTGGGCCTACTGTGACAACCCCTCATGTAAGTACAATTTGAAAGTTGGGTTCACTCGTCTGTGACCTCCAATTCGGTAGCATCAGCCGCGTTCCAGTGGATCTATGCACGATAACGTGGAATCGCAAATTCCCACGCGCACGGACAGCATGATTACGAACACAGTCAAAGGTCCACTGGAGGTTGACACCTCTAGACAGGATGGTGAAGATCTGATGTCGACGGATCCTGAGGGTACTTTAGACACGTTATTCGCGAATGCAAAAAACGGTCTCAGAGACATGAAATCATCGCAGTTAGTCGACATGTTGAAACCGCTAAAGATATTCGGCGACGTGGCTGCATCAATCGCGCAGGTATACCGCCAGACACATTGTCGATGGATTTTGTCTGATCACGTCCGACAGCTCAATCCCTATGCAAGTATAGCAGTTGGAGTGCTATTTTCTGCGTCTGAAGTATGGCGCTCTTTATATGCTGTATTGTTCGTTAATGACTCTCTTAATAGGCCATTCTGAAACAAGAAGAGCGCGACGACGATGTGAAGGATCTGTTTTCGAAGATCTTGGACGTGTATAGCTTGGTGATAAAAAGGAAAGAACAAGCTACGGATCGCTCGATGGGAAAGGTATTAATGGATCTCGCGCAACAAGTACGGGTGTGTGTCGATTTCATTGTTTGTTACACGAAGGACAAGAATTACTGTAAGTGGATTTCGCTGCACTGTCTTCTTACAATCTCTCATGTTGTCGCGTTGCAGGGTTAAGATTATTTGAGAGCGCTAGGAAGAATACAGGTGCAGTGATCAAAGAGTACAATGCAGCCCTTGACGATCAGATGCAAAGGTTCCGCGACCAGAATGCTCTTCAGACGACTCTGTTTGTGTATAGAATTGGTAAGAATAGATTATATTGTCCCAGAGTAGGCCTGATCCTCAACTTGAACAATATAGCTGACGACGTAAACTTGAACGACATGGAATATGCAAGTGGTGTCTCGCTGAACACGTCCAAGCAATGCCTCGAAGGTACTCGGACGGACATTCTTTTGGAGATCAAAGACTGGATGAGCAATATCGCAAATGACGCGAAACAGATTATGTGGATCTCTGGAATGGCAGGCAAGGGAAAATCGGCGATTGCGCATACGATAGCCGGCTGGGCTCAAGCTTGTGGGATGTTTGGATCTTGCTTCTGTTTTGATCGTACTCGGGAAGGAGGCCGTCTTCACGAGAAGATATTTACCACCATCGCGCGTGACTTGGCTGATCACGATCCTCTCGTGCGTCGGGCGTTGGCGGATGCGATCCGTGACAATAACGAACTGAGGCACTCCACGGACCTGCGTAGGCAATGGGAGCAACTTATTGTTGGGCCGATACGTGCGGCCTCGAAGATAGTTCGTGCGCCCATACTTATCGTTATAGACGCCCTCGACGAGAGCGGTGGACGGGAGACCCGTGAAGACATTCTACGCGTGCTCACGGGCGGACCGGACAGGTTGTCGCAATCGACGACGAATCTACCTCCAAATATACGTATTGTGTTAACGTCTCGGCCACTGCCAGATATCGAAAGTGCCATCAAGGGAGCGCCGCACATTCGACAGATATCTCTGGATGCTGTCACTCGGGAATCTGCAGAGCCCGATGTGAAACGTTATATTGCTTCAAATTTGAAGCCTCTAGGGGTATTTCAGGATGCTGACTTCCAAATACTTGCGCAGAAGTCTGACGGACTGTTCGAATGGGCTCGTCTCGCATGCTCGCACATCAATAACCAGAACTCGATAGGTCAGACGCCTATACGCCGCTTTCAAGCTGTCGTCGCCGGGACGTCGGCCAAAGGGGCATCACTCCTGGATGAAATATATAAGCTTGTCTTGGGAGAGGTCATGCCAGAGAGCGAGCGTGGGGACGTGCTGCCCTTGTTTCGCTCGATAATGGGCCAGGTTATAACGTGTCTGGAGCCCCTCTCAATTCGTGCGTTGACTGCAATGCGAAAGGTTCTTCCACGGAATGACAGCATTGATGATGAAGACCAGGATGAAAATATCGAATGTTTTCTCGGGCCTCTGGGTTCACTTCTCGCCGGCGTCACAGACCTTCAGACGCCAGTCCGGCCTCTACACGCATCGTTTTACGACTTTTTGACAGAAGAAAGGCGGAGCGGGGAGTTTCATATCGGAGAGCCGTCAACACACCACCAAATGCTGGCGTTTGCGTGTTTGAGTATTATGAAGGTCGAACTATGTTTCAACATCTGCAGGCTGGAGAGCTCCTACATTCCGAACTCAGGTGTAACTGACTTGCCACAGCGCATCGAAAACTTCATTTCCTCTCAGTTGAATTACTCTTGTCGATTCTGGACATTCCACGTGTTGGCCACGCCTATCGAGCCAGCTCTGGCGGATGAGCTCGGGGGCTTCTTCAAAGAGAGAGTACTGTTCTGGCTCGAGGTGCTGAGTCTTACACAAAGTCTGAGTGGTCCCGCGTCAGCGTTGTATTCAATTTCATCCATGTTCACGGTACGTCCTTGTACATCGACGTTCGGCGGTCATACATGACGTCGACATCACAGGACAAGCAGAATTATGCCCAGCTTCGAACTTCCATAATTGACACGGAGCGATTCATTCGAATGTTTTCGGCGACCATGCTACGAAGCACGCCACATCTTTATCTGTCCGCATTGCCGTTTGCACCAATTCGTTCACGCGTTCTTCAAACGAGCCGTGCCAAGTTTCCCGACACACTTAATCTCGCTGCCGGTGGAATGGATCGGTGGCCATCACTGGAGAAAATAATTCGTGGACATACGGGCTTGGTCTATTGTGTGGCAGTCTCGCCTGATGGCCGCTACATTGTGTCCGGATCTTCCGATCACACAATCCGTGTGTGGGATGCGCAGACGGGCGTGCAATCGCTCCCTGCT